TTCTAGCATATATCAATCCTGTAACGACCTTCCAAATTCGCTTTTAGCGGGGTTTGTTGAATTAAGGATCAAATTAGCCCTTTTGGGCGGGAGCTAATGGGTTAAAGTGTTATACGAAAATATTTCCCATGAAATTTTACATTATATGTCTTAACCTTTAATTTCAATGACATTTATTTTAACCATTTTTTCCTTGTTTTTTTTTTTTTTGAAAAGTACCTAGGCCAGTACATAAAATAAAAAAAAACGAGCTAACTTTTGCAAATTATAAAATTGCCGCACAGTGTAATATGACGAAGATTTTTCTCTCAGCTCCACTATGTAATAACATTTGCTACAAATTTTAGACCGAAATTTATAGGTATATGCATATGTATAACCAAACAGACTAAAAACTCTATTCTTGTAAAATTCCATATTATTAATTTTAGTATTTTAAAATGTCAAAAAGACAGCTAAAATATGCCAACAAACAAATGAACCTATGAATACCTATGAACAGGTTCATATACACATATTTACATGTGTTAAGTGTGTTGTTGTATGTACATATGTACTTGCATACAATATTTAAGATATTATTGCACATACTTATGTAGGTGCATATGTATATTCATAATTTTCTAAACAACTGTTGCTGTCGCACAGTGCTTCCCTTCCATATAAAAAGTGGACAAAAATAGAATTATGAACGAATTTAAATAAAAATTTGTTTCTTAGTGAATTTGAGGGCGCTAAATTCAAAAATGCATTTTATTTTTTGATAGCTTTCATTCTTTCAATGTAAATGCAGTATAAAGTTACAAATTTTGTGTTCTCTTAGCATTTAGGTATGCACATCTGGGTCATTCGATTTTCGAAAATAAGGCGTTAAATTAAAGGGATTGACCTGTAGATGGGAAAGGGGTTGCCGCCTTTTAAGAACTTTACTTAATTCAAACAATTTAATAATTTAAATTAATTATTACAATATGGGTATCAATCGAAATGGGTTTGAAAAGGGTTTACTTCTAAGGATAACCACCTGTTTAAAAATTTAAATTCAACTTGAATTAGGAGAATCACGTAATTCAAATACATACATATGTAGGTATGTATAACAATATGGGTGTCAGACGAAAGAGGTTTAAGAAGGTTTTAGCTTGAAAATATTTTGAAGAAGGCTGCCGTCAGATTATAAAGTCAAATTTTATATTTATATTTTTTATGCATTCCATTAAAAGTTCCAATTTTTTAAATTTTTATATATTTTTTTTGAATACCGTAGGAACACTTTTTTTAATATCATTCCAAATTTTGTATTCGTATAGTTCCCTATCAGATATATATGAAAATAAAGAAACGTCAAACCAACATTTGATTTCAAAAAATGTATTTTTGGCTTTTTTCTCTGATCAAAATTCTTACACACCTATTCTGCTTGTTATCGAATATTTTGTAACCGGGAAATTTTGTTTTCAAACATTAACACCATCTTTGTAACCGGGATTCTAGGCACCTTCAACTTATTCAGCAATTTATAGAAATTCTGGTGTTGCATATTTCACGGACCAATATTTTTTTTACCTGCTTATGAGATGGTAACAAAATTTACCGGTCACAAGAATGCGTAGAATATGATAGGGGTAAAAATTTACTGGAGATTTATTTACCGGTAACATAATTTTTGTTAGCGACGCAGAACAGGTCTGTTAATATCAATTTTTTTAACTTAAGTGCCTTCCTGACAGATATATAATTCATATTGTATGGAGAATTTTCAGTTTACTCCTTTAAATTATCTTTAAAAAAAATCCCAAACACGTTCATATTTCAGAAACGAATTTTTCGATTTTTACTCACTGTGCGCCGTCGCTGGCTGCAATTAGGACACAGTTATACCTCGATATTCTTAAACAAATTGAACATATGTACGTACCCTTACGAAACCATTTGCTGCATTGGCATTGATAAAATAATTAAATACATACATATCTATGTGTTTTCGCATTTTCAACGGCACATGACAATTTTGAAGGCATCTGCCGATAATTTATCTGATAAACGATGATTGCGCTGAAGCCATTTAGAGAGCAGTATTGCTGTAAGGCAAAAATATATATAGTATGGTTTGTGTTTATGGGGACGGCTATTAAGGTTTATACTTTTTATGTGAATATTTACGAATGTTTAGTAAATTCAATGAGCGTATGCCTATATATTATGCATACATACATGTGTGTATTCTTTACTGAAGAAGCGGTGTAACTGCCAAGCTCTTTCCCCTGCTGGGCACCCATGACTAGGCAAGATCTTCATACTTTCCAGGACACTAAGATGAAAGGGGTGAAAATATGAAAATCGCAAGTTCCAAATTAAGTCAATTGACCAAAGGAATTTTCTATGGAAAATGATAAAGACCCACTGTACATTAGAGTGGCCCAAAAAAATTAAGTTGGAATATTAATGCCGGCACCCCCTAGGATTGTTCTATATCGAAAAAAATGTACCTCTATTTTTTTATTTTGAAATCAAAAAATATTTAGGGGGTGCTCAAAGCACTCAAGGTTTTCCATGTATTTTATATGGAGAAAAAACCATTTTTCGTAGAAATGGTATAAAACTCTTAAAAATCGATATTTTTCAATCGGGAAACTGTGGTTCTCTTCAGGAGACTTCAAATATTGATATCCAATTGTTTATTTAACCATTTTTTATGATTCAAGATTTTACCATTGCATTTTCTAGGGGTTTTGGAGGACCTATAAAATATAGTTACTATGAAAAAATGGTTAAAGAGACAATTGCGTATTATAACTGGGAATCTCCTGAAGATAAGAAAAGTTTTCCGATCGAAAACTGTAGATTTTCAAGAATTCTACACTATTTCTACGAAAAGTTGTTTTTCCCCCATATAAAATACATGGAAAACTTTGAGCACTCCCTATTTTTTTTTTCAAAATAAAAAAATAGGGTTATATTTTTTTCGATATAGAACAATTCTAGGGGGTGCCGGCATAAAAATTCCGACCATATTTTTTTACATACATTTTTGGACCACTTTACTGTACATAGATCTGTGGTTTCTGAGTCTTAGTCAAAATGGCCTATGAACTCTAACTCTTAGTAGTGGTCTTTTGACAGTGGGGAGTTAACTCGAATTCGGCAGTTAACTTCCAAATTTGCATTAATTTAACTCCCACTGTGAAAACGGCACTTATGTATGTAGTTGCTGAAAGGACATTGTACAATGATACTTGCCAAAGAGAACTAATGACTGAATCCGAAGTGACGATATACCTAAAGCATTGCCAGGCACTGATTTAAAGAGATTGATTAAACGAAAAATGTAAAATTAAATTTTTGATTGATTATGAGGAAATTTTGTTAGTTACGGTATTTTCCATTTCAGGAGACGAAACTCGTATGTATTATCCCTATTGCATATAATGATATGTAGAATGGTACTTTTATCCGGAAAACACTGTAATGCGAATTTTATTTTGGCGAAAACACGCGGAAGTTTCCAATTAATTAATGTCATGTGATTCAGTCATTATCGAATAAGAACTGCTAAAATCTTAAATAGTTTATGAATGAGCGCCGCTATTGATTGGTTAGAAGTGCATACTACTCCCGCCCAGAAGGGCCACGGTTTTATCCCTGGGCCAAGCAACATAAAAAGTGTTTTTCTAATAGTGGTCTTCCTGACTTTTTCAAATTTTTTTTTTTTTTTTTTTTTGAGGCACAAATCAAACATGCGATTTTTCGGACTTCACAGGATTTTTTTTTTGGAGTTTTTCTGGGCTTTGCTTTATGTATATTCAAATCTTAACTTTTATCATTGCAAAAGATATCAAGTTTTACGCACTTTTTTTACTTATGAATTTTTTTAGGATACTTCATGCTATATTTTTTTGGGCCTTTCGAGATTTTGTCGAGGTTTTAAGGGACTTTTCGGAATTTTCTATATGTATTTTTAGGTACTTTCAAGATTTTTTCGGGGTTTTCCCATTTTCTCGGGATCTTTGTTTAAGAACATTTAAATCCTAACTTTTATTAATGCAGGTTTTCCGGGTTTTTTTTAGTATTTTTTGCGTTTTTTTTTCTTTTTTTAAAGGGCTTTTGGAAATATTTTCAGAATACTTCATACTATCTAGATTTTCTTGAACCCAACGGGACTTTTTATTTCCCCGGAATCCTTAGGTGACTTGTCGGAATTCCTCGTATTTTTTCAGGACTTTTTATTTTTTTGCACTGACACAATTTTTCGACTTTTTCCCAAACTCCTCGGGATTTTTCGAATAATTTTTGGGAAATTTTCTATATTTTTCGTAACTTTTCAGGATCTTTATCGATCTACATTTAAATCTTAACTTACATGAATGCAGAAAATGGAAGTTTACTAAAAACGCATACTTGACACGATCTCTGCCAAAACCTACAGTAATGATAATAATAATAATAATAAAAACACCATTTTATCGTCATTCGGATATCCGTTGAGATTGCATTAGGACAACAGCTACTCCTCGGTACATGCAAAAAACTGTAGTGTATGTATGCATGTAAGTACTTGTATATATCAAACATTTAAAAATGTACCAAAATTTATGTATATATATGAAGAGGTTTTTTTATGACTATAGCACTTTAAAAATAATCAGTTTTATGATCTCTTCATTCTGCAAAGTGGTCACTAATTTCACAAGAATTCGCGTAAATTGTTGCGCCAGCCAACTCTGTCCATTCCCGTGAAATCAGCACACAAAAATTAAAATATTTCACTAACACATATACATACATGGATAGATACTAGAGGTGGGCCGGGCCACCTCAGTGTGGAAATTTCAACAAAATATCTGTGATAAATATTTACCTACTATTTCTGTTTTGCAAAACAAATTCTTGTTGCCATTTCGGCGAAGCGATTAACCGAGTATTTAAGTATGTAAATAAATGGAAAAAATAAGAACGAACATTTGCTTAAAAAAAAAAATTAAATTAAATTAAACACTTACCTAAGAAATGGGTTCTTCCACCGAACGCGATTTTTTAAATTATCTACGATTTGCGTTTTTTGTTCAATTTTTTTTTCGAAGAAAAAGTATTCGTAATAGTCAATATTAGTTGAATGATTCAGCGACGTTGACAAGCTGAGTTGACCAACGCGGCGAATGAGTGGAGCCGCCGCGTGCCCACGCGCGCTCTAACTGCGAAACACCACCAGCAAATGTCTCCAAAAAACGCGCTTAAAGTTCAATTATATACCGTTAGGAAGTGAATTTTTTAGTTACAACAATAGTTTTCTTTATTGCTCTATTTCACACAATTTCCTGCAATTCGCTGCAAAATCGTTCTGTGTTCTATTGAATTGCTTGCTGTAGGTCGAGAAGTTCCACTGAATTATGAAAATCTAAAATCACCACACACGCGCATTGCCAAAAAAAAATTTGCAATGCAAATATACACTTGTATTTGTTGTAGTTTTTCTTCTGTGGAAAATATTTTCAATGTTCACTAATTCTGCACCAAAAACAAAAAAACGATTATTTTATATACGGTCCATTTTCCTTTGACTTATTCGCTGAGAGGACTTCGGGTTTTTATGCACACGTTTGATCACTTGGAAATCTCGAAAAGTACTGAAATGATTTTCAAAATACCACTTACATTTTTACATCTCGAAAATGTTTCCGACGCTATGGCGCAGGCTGCAGGGCGGCGCACGGTGATCGATAATCGGTTGAGCAGGGAGCAAACTGGCGTTGATGGCGTTGGTGTTGACGCTTAACTATGCCACGTATGACGCTGGTCGTTGCCGTGCTGGTGGCAATTCTCGGCGGTGGTGGTGGTGGTGGTGGTGGTGTTGGCTTTGTTGGTGATGCCTGCGAAGATGACGGCAACGCCACCGACCATAGCGAACAACGGTATGGTAGCAGCTGCGCAGTACACTTATGAGGATACGCAAAACGGTCTCCCTCGTTCAACTTGCTGCGGGAGACAGCTGAGAGGATCGTGTGCTGCCAAACAAGTGCGATATGGTTAAAAATAAATCCGAGTCGATTTTTCTCGAGAGCAACGAATTTTTGAAAACACATTGAAGAGTCTACGATATATGTATGTATGCACTTTGGGTGTGTTTGCACTAACAGGAATAAGGTAAGGCTGAAGAAAAGGTGGTATAAGCGAGGACAATTTCAAAGAAGTCAAAGCAAAACAAAGAAACATCATGGAAAACACAAAGTTTGTATGTATGTACACACATCTCTGGGGTGATCTTTTAGACAAGTTGCAATTTCACCACTAAGGCACTCACTCATATCACTAGCCGGGCCCAACGCAGCCCACAATGTGCCGTTTGTAATGGCATAGGCGTTATTGTGTATAATAGACACAGCTTCCTTCCCCTTTCCAGTTTCCTGTTGTCGTATGGCCGTGTGCTCGTGCTGACTGTGGGGTGATCGCCTCTTAGCTGTCTGTCAGTCACTCCCTGCCATGGTACGTGCCATGTCAGCGTCTGCTCTGAGCAGAAATCTAGAAATCTCAAAGGAGTAGTGCGCAGAATCCAATGCAAGCAATGATGGGCTGGTGAGATGAGACGCAGATGTTTCGCAGCGTTCGTTGGCGTCCGATTCAGCTAGGGCGCAATGCGCTTACGGAGCGTCAAAAGTCGGTGTCAAAAAACTCACAAAACCACTTCAAACACGCTGCCAAAAGGTGAAAATTTTTGCCGGTCTCTGGCGTTCAAACCAAATTTTGTGCGAGTGTGTGTGTGTGTGTTTTGTTTTTTATTTGTTTACCTCGCATCTCCGTGCGCTTTCGACCAAAGGTGTTTTGTTTGGCATTTCTGATTAATTTCCTTTTTTTTTAATATTTTCTTAAGCTTTTTCACAATTTCCCATTATAAGTTCGAGTTTTTTTGTTTGTTTTAGTTGCTTTGTTAGAGAACCATGTGGAAGATCGTTCTACCCCACCCGACTGTTGTGTGATTATTTCGTCAAGAAATATGCGCAGCACGCGTTTTTTGGCAATTTCCACGTTAACGGGTTTTTGATAGGTTGGCGCAAAGCAAATAGGTGCATATACATACATAAATATGCGGAGCCAAATTCAATTTTAAGTTCTTTCATATCTACACTTTAAACATTTTCTTCGCAGGTGTGCGCTGAAAAGCTAGAACATAAAGCATTTTGAGCTTTTTGTAGTATAATGAACTTTATGTAATTTTTTTGTCAGGTGCGAAAAATATATTTAAATTAGGGTGATTCAGAAATTTTTTTCACCTCGGAACCATGCTCAAAAGTTTTGTTTAGACGCCAAAATAAATCTCAGAAAATATGTGCCCTTTATATTCATATTTAGAATATCCGCATCGCACTTTTCGTTTTCCCATAAGAATAACACAGGAAAAACCGTTTTTTTTTTCTTCTGATTTTTATATTTAACGAACGATATGGTGTACAGTAAAGGTCTTGGAGTATTTTTGTAGAGAATTGAACGCTCAAAAAAAAAAGGTGTAAAGTCATTTTTCGATAAGTCAACTCGGTCAAAAGTTATTCGAGGTCAAAGTTGAAAGAATGGTGACCTCGAATAACATTTTTTTGTAGAGCTTTCGATTCTCTACAAAAATACTCCAATACCTTTACAATATAACTCATCGTTCTTTAAATATAAAAATCAGAATAAAAAAAAAATAATAATTTCCCTGTGTTATTCTTATGGGAAATCGAAAAGTGCGATGCGGATATTCTAAATATTAATATAAGGCGCTCATATTTTCGGAAACTTATTTTGGCATCTAAACAGAACTTTTGAGCATAGTTCCGAAGCAAAAAATACAAAAAATTTTTGTTTGGATCACCCTAACGTACATGCATATACCTACATATGTGTGTATAGACGAATGGCTTTCCACACTTTGTTCTAAATATAAATAAATAATTTGTTTAGCGGCGACTTAGTTTGGTTAATCAATAAGGCGATCTCTGCGCATTTCATGGGCTCATTTGAAAATTTTTCTATGCAGACATTGACGCACATACTGGCATATAGTTATATCGTATATACCCGTATACATATACATACATACATACACATCTACATGTACATACATACATATGTAAATGTGAACTTATTGAACAAAGAGTCTAAAGAAAGGCAAAATAGGACATCATACACAAATAATAGTTTTGGCAATGGTTATTAAAGATACACATACATACATACATATGTATAAGGTTTGAAAAATTTAACAACAATTTTCTTATACATATGTATGCACATTAGACCGAACCAGAAAGAAAGAAAGCCGTGCCTTAGTCTAAAGTACGTACATACATATATTTGAAAAGCAATTTCGACAAATTTTTTTTTTTTTTGGTATTTTGACCGACGGTTCTCAAATGCAATTTCAATCATTTTCAAAAAGTTATCAAAACAAATTCTATGGGACTGCGAAATATTATTTCCTACTTCTTTTTAGTCCATTTATAAAAGCGTGCTATCTTAAAAAGCTTTTTATTTTATTTTTTTGTTATATCTTCGGCATTTGCCGTCGCATCTTAAAGTATGATATATCAAAGTTCTTGAGCAAAAATTCATTCAGCTCAATTTCCTCGTTCCAGTATTACACGCCAAATCTCAGTTCCTACCACACTAACGCGCCACCCTAATGTCAGTGAATTGAAATTTTTCAATAATTATTAAACTTTTTGCTAAGAAAGTATTTTAATTATGCTAGTAGAATATAAAAAAAAATTGTTTATTGCTGAATGTAAGTGTCAGCGCAAAATGTAAAAGGTCGAAAGATCGAAAGATCGAAAAAATCGAAAGTCTTTTGCAAAAATACTTTAGAATCAGCGGTGTACGGCGAACTTTTTCTTTTTGCTTGTCAGGTGGTACGGTCTAATGTTACATATACAAGCAATTATGTAAGAAATATGTACAATAAAAATTAAATTGTTTTCTTTCAACGGTATCACCTGTTGGTGGTGATAATGACCACTAATTGCGGTGTAAAACTCAAGGAGTATTACAACAGTACTACAACAAAAAAACACAAAAATTGTATACCAAAATATAATTGTTTAAGAACAGCATTGTTTTGGGAAATCAAAAATAAATTTAGCAAGCATAGACGAGCATAAGCGCGTATAGTTATGTATGGCTGTTTAGCTCTTAAGTGATTATTTAAGTGAATGCTCCAAATGTTTACCAGTACCTTCGCTTTTCTGCTATAACTGTAACCTCAACTTTATTCCTACTTCTTTCATTGTTAACAATGTTTAAACTCATTCAGCCTTCACTTTTCCCTTCCGTGTATTCACTACGGGCGGATGAATTTGCTTTCACTTATTTTCTATTGGAAATTTTTCCAGGTATTTTACAAAAATTATTATTATTTTTTTTTATACATATTGACACCTGAGTGGAAGATCAACCTATTTCGACAGCCAGTTCGAAAACGCCCTATCTCAGAAAACTTTTCAAGAACGCCCTACTTCAGAATTTTGTTGAAGAACACCCGTTAAACATCCAAACCCTTTGTTGGGGACATGGTTGTCATTTCGGTATGCTGACGAATCCATGTTGATTTTGGTGCCAGTGGAGGTGCTGGCAGGCTCTCTGTGTTCTGTCAAAAGCATACACAACAGAGCTGCTAAGAAGGTTGTGGCATCTCAAGTTACCACGCAGTGACGAGTAGGAAGTGGGGGAAGGCAATCTACGTGGTGAAAAGAGTTTAGTCAAGTCAACTAAATACATATATATATTATCCTCAACACATGACTTGCTTATAGTTACATTATTTGGTTATAGTTACCAAATCATGAGACAGATATATTTGGCTGACTTTTTTCTGAGTGTAAGAGATTCATAACTTCCCTAAACTGAGTCTCTGAACGACTTCGGAACCTTAGCCGGTGAGACCTGAAGACTCGCACTGGCTACCTGACAGTTAAGTACGTTGGTAAGATATGATTTTCTGCACAGACAGACTTTAGGTTCTGCGGGCTGGCGGTTATGCGTTTACCCACGTACAACATACGTATGTACATATATGTACATATCGCAGACCGTCTTCAAAAGAGTCACAACTCAAAATAATACGTTCGTCTGAAAATGCAAAAAACTATTTCGTAGCACATGCTAATCATATGGGCAAGGGCGACTTTACTTTAGGTTTCTGTAACAAATTATATCAAAAATTTGCTCCAGCTTTTGCTGAAAGATAAATAAAAGCTCTGTGTCCTTAGCAGTTAGTTTGGGGCTTTAATCCACTAAACCTCCAACGACCATCCCCTCTTAGTACTACCGTGAAGTATTTCGATGGCTCGGTGGTGCAACTAGAAGTTCGTTACACTCCCAGAGGCGGTCCGTAACGTAACATCGACTGGGAACCATCCTTTGTTTGTATGCTGTACAACCATTCATCCCAGTAGGGAGCTTCCGTCCCCAGCCAATATACAGTCAAGTCCGCCTATTTCGTAACGCATCATAAGTGCGTTTATATTTAGAAGGAGATGCTGTTTGTAACGGCGCTAAGACCCTAGGTTCCAAGCTTGGTCAAATATTGCTACAGTACCTCATGCCATTTGTCAACGATTTTGTGTTGTCACCCATGGACCATGAAGGAGTAACGACTACGTTTCGTGGAGTTGTGCTTGTGAAATTTAGATCAGCAAGTTCCATTCTTATGGCGTTCAATAGTGAGGAGTCGTTGCCAAGCCATTGCAAGTAGCTGCGGTAGACACCGCGGACTTTTGAGTACATATGTACGTATTAGGGATGTTAATTTTCCAGCTTTTTCAGATCCCGGGATTT